TTTATTACTCTCTCATAGCGTAAATATCATTCAACATAATTCTCCGTGGCCTCCTATAAAGATTCGAAACCTCACGCTGACAAGCGTGTAACAATGAACGCAATATTATACTCATGCTTGATTTTCAGGTGAATACAGGATTATTAACCCGCCGAGATCGAGTGAGATTTTCCGAGGCCGGAGCCGAGAGAAATATCACCTTCGAGGCTGTTATAAATCCTCGTATAAAATCACCTGGGAAAATAGTCAATAACTGTTTTATATAACATTCACCTAATTTATTTAAGACCCCTAATAAGACCTATAACTGGACCGTGGTTTCGTTGCTTGGGAACATCTATATTTAGGACTTGTAAGAGGGGTTATTGACCAATCAGCGCTGTCCGGGAAACAAAATGACAGTCATATAATAACAACGCCACTATTATCAAAAATATATCACTACAAATACTTTTCTTAAGATGATACAGTAGGTGATATATTCTTGGTCATATCTAAATCCACTCTAATCCCTTACTGAACAAATGACGTGACTATAGGTAACTTACTTAAACACCTCATAGTAGGGCGTTCCCACTATTACAACATGTGTAATAATATTAATATTATGACCTTTTCACTTATGATTGCCAAACTAACAGCCGTTATAACGCCCGATCTCACGCGGTAACAGCCGTTCATACTCGACACACGGTGTCAATGCTACAAGTACATCTTATGATATATATCATATAAGAAACATACCATAACACTTATTTCGGCAATAGACTCGTGATCACGCTAACTGAGCAGTCAGTACACAACACACACCACACACACACGTTAATACTGACAATCAGTGTCCGCGAATTGACACGCAGAACACACCAAAAGCCGGCCAGTGGTGGAATTCACGAGCTGTTGAACAGACCTAGAATCCCTATTGGTAACGTGTTTCCGTTTCACTACGAACCAATTTAGCGTTATGCCCAGACATGAGCCTGAGTTTTTCTTTACTCAGCGAACAATTCAAACTGAGCTGTTAGCTTATTAATTTTGTTGGCCCTCCCCTGTTCTTAAACTCTGTAGATTTCATATTGCACTATAAACAAATTATTTACTAATTATATTATCTTTTTTATGTTGTTATCTTTTAATATTATTTTTAGGTCTCGGTTTTTGCAAGTTCGCTGGTGTGTGTGCCGCCGCTCGTATCTGCGTGCGTGTGCGATGCGTGCGCATGCTCACGTTCGTACGTGCTTGCTTGCATTCCGTGCGGCGTATGTATGTGTGCATGCATGCAATGTGTGTGGTGGTGTGTGTGTGTGTGTGTGCGTGGCGCGCGTGCGTGTGCCGTGTGCGTGTGTCGTGTGCGTGTGGCGTGATGCGTGTGCGTGCTTGCCGTGCGTGCGGGCCTATCCGTGTATGCTGTGTTTCCTCTTTGGCATACATAAGTCATTCGGTAAATAACGTAAATATTTTCATAGTTCTATAAACTGGGAGCATGGACCGCTTACACGAGGCAAGCTGCACAAGCACACCGCTGATATTACACCCCCGCTGCTAATCGCCGCCTCGTGCTGTTCTTAATATATCGACAATCCACGGTCGTGCTATAAAATAATCACTGGTTACTTCGCCATCTGTTAGCTTGATTACGGACTAACCCGCCAGCAGGAGCCAAGCATTTCTCCTAGCATAAAGAATAGGCGTAAACGACAGGATCACAAGTGGTCCTACGAAATTTTTAACATCGTCCGGTAAAACAACGTGCAGCTAAGTTCGAGAGAGAATGAATGAACATATATCTGTTTAAGTGTGATGTCGAAGCGTTTCACGCCGTCACAGATATTAGGTAAGCACGTCTTAGACCCGTGTGTACCATGCACGTTAGTAGAAACGCCCCAAGAGATGTCTAGTGTCTCGATTTAAAAGCCTCTAATCGACTCTCTAGCGCGATGCTGGTTGTACGAAGTACAAATAAATACCGTTTGGCGAAAATTGTACTAAGTAACCAAACATCGTTCTGCTGCATTCTATGACAAATACGACATACTCATACACGCCTCTCCTATGACACGTCATTTGTCATATGGAAGATTCTAATCCTATGCTAAATATTGGCGGAGTCACTTCGTTCCAGTTTACAGCTGAAATTCACTGTGCTTGCGTTCATAATAGCGTCCTAAACTCCTAATCGAGCGCACAACCACATTCAACAATATCTGTCATAGTGAAAAATCTTCCTATGACAAAAGTGTCATAGCAGAGAGCGTATATGGTATTGTCGTATTTCGTCATAGAAGCGCTAGCAGAACAGGCACTCAGTACAGTAAATAGCGTGTTCTGTGTTCTGCTAGCCATAGCCCAAGTGCTATGGCCAATCAAGCAAAAGATTTCTCTGCGGCCGCTCCAGCCTAAGCTGTGTCCGTCGATCAATCAGGACTTCTTGCCAGAAGGGACGCTATCCTGCGCACATATAGCGTCGTCCATCGTAGGCGTAGCTCGCAGTTAAATATATACACACACACATATATATATAATAATATATATATATATATATATATATATTCTGTGTAATGCCTGCGTTTCGGTCTCCCTAGGCAATTATTTATGATCTGTTCTGCCTATATCGATGATGCTGATGAGACGCAGGGATCCCAATTGCTATCGGTTATAGCATGAACACAACGCCACCACTCTGCGCAGCTCCCTTTACATGTCTACGTTCAGTATATCTCCTAGCATATGATTATGACGTAGATCTGAAACATATACGAAAAAAAAAAACCGTCTTATTTGTTTCATTTTTTACTAATCTGTTCCATGCGCCCAAGACCAACCGTCTGAGTTTTTGATCTCACATTCGCTCCGTCTCTCTAACGCACACAGGACACGTGCACCGTACGTACCACGCACGCCACGCACGCACGCACGTCACGCACACACGATCAGGCGTGCGTACCCACACCCACCACACCACACACACCACACACACACGCACGCCCACACTTAGCACCAATAAGCACGCCGCCTGCTGTCGCTTTCCGTCGCGCATCACTCCCTCATTAGCTGGGTAAGCAATTACAACTAACTAACTCAATCTGACTAAACTAACTAACTCTTCGCAAATCACATCTCTGAATCTTTTGCCTCGTTTGCTGGCGCTGCTGCACGCGCAGACTGCTATGCGTAATAGAACGATGCCTCATACTTCCGTCGCTAATCGGAATTTTATGTTTCATCCTCTGGCGGTGCGATACATGGTCTAGCCAGAAGTAGGACTATTGGTCGCCCATCTGCCACCGCTCGCCACGAGCACGGCTAGTAAAGACTCGAGATGCGTGCTAGCAGCATCCATTGATGTGCAGCAGCATCACTGAAACATAATGCCGTAATACTAAAACGAACTGAAACTACTGTAAGCGTACTGAAGCGCTACTGTTAACCTACTGTATACGTACTGTACGTTAGCTGACAGCTACTGAAACGAACTGAAACGCAACTGTAAACGTACTGACCGGCGTACTAGTAACGTACTGAAGCGTGTTACTGTAACGTACTGAAGCGTACTGGTAACGTGACTGTAACGTTACTGGCCAGACGTACAAATAGCGTACTGAAACGTACCTGGTAACGTACTGAAACGAAACTGTAACGTACTAAACGAAACTGTAACACTACTGAAGACGAACGAACGTACTGTAAGTATGAAGCGTACTGATGAACTAAACTGAAACTTACTGTAACACGCACTGAAGCGTAAACTGTAAACGTACCTGAAGCGTACTGTAACGTACTGTAACGTACTGAAGTACGTACAATATGCGTACTGAACGAACGGTAACGTACTGAAACGAACTGTACACGTACTACGAACAGCGGACTGAGACACGTAACTGAAACGTACTGTAACGTAGCTGAGACGAACTCGTAACGTACTGAAACGTAATTCTCTAAGACATGTCGATCGTTCGTCCACAGCGACTAATAGGGAACCCAACGACACTGCACGCGAAAGTAAAGAGAGGCACTGATCTATATGAGCAGGCATGCAACGCGTGCTCGAATAGAGAATGAACTCAGGTAGCATCTCGCGTGATGGTTAACGACAGGGTTCAACGGCAGGCATTGTAATGTGATGACGACTTAATAGGGAACGGGGGACGACATAGGAGACGCGCGGCTGACGGGAACACTGTCGTGCAGAAACAGGAAAAGAAAGAGATAGATAGATACGATAGCTAGACAGATAATAGATAGATAGATAAATAGAATAGATTAGATAAATAAATAGATAGATGAGTATTTAGAATATATATATATATATTATATATATATATATATTATATAGATCTAAAGATAGATAAATAAGATAGATAGCTAGATAGAATATATATATATATATATAATAATGAAGATAGATAGATAGATCGAATAACAAATAGAGATAGAAATAGATAGAATAGATAGATAGATAGGATAAGATAGATGAGCATAGATAGATAGATAGATCAGATAAAAGATAGAAATATAAGATAAACGATAGAAATAGTAAGATAGATAGATAGATAGAATAGAATAGATAGATTAGAGATAGATAGATAGATATAGATAGATAGATAGAAGATAGATAGGATAGGATAGATGAGGCAGTATGATAGATAAGATAGATAATCAGCTAGATACGATGTGTGTGTGTGCGTGTGTGTGTATCTGTGTGTGTGTGTGTGTGTTTGTGCTTGTGTGTGTGTGGTGTGTGGTGTGTGTGTGTGTGTGTGTGTGTGTGTGTGTGTGTACCTTGTGTGTGTGGGTGTCGTGTGTGTGTGGTGTGTGTGTGTGTGTGTGTGTGTGCGTGTGTACGTTGTGAAAGTGAGACGGGAGCAGAAAGAGCTTTCCGGTAGGGTGCAGTACCTAAAACTTTCCGCTTGTACCACACGCCCCATAATGAACACTAGAAACGAGAAGAGCTAGTCGAAGTAGTGCTTTGTCCACGGATCCGATCACTTGCCATAACAGGACGGCCATGCCTATATAGGTACCAAAATATAATTCACAGATTATTACCATACATTATAGTCACTTAATCAAAAGCTGAAAGGATCGTACAAGTTTAGATGAGCACACTAGAACGCGAAGCCGACACCGATAGCAACCCCAATGCGAAGCAACGATCCTTTCCAGATATACTAGATGCTGCCGCCACAAATAATATCACAGATGAGGTTAGAGTTCATACGTGTGAAGACCAAATGTGTGGTAGGGCTAATATTGCTGTTACAGATAGGGGCCGATCCAGGTTTATGGCAAAACATATCTTCATCAACAGAGAAGGTACGATAAATACTATAGAAGAATGTAAATGTACAGCCAATCTATCAAAACTAAGTTCTTCGGAGCGATAGTACAATTAAGATACGGTCACGCACGCTTATTGTGTAACCTTATTTCTACGTATCCATCTAGACACGTGTCGCCAGAGACATCAAGATAACATAACGTATATAACAGAGATTATTCTACCAATATTCTTCTGGTCCGAATGTAACTGCAATTGGACTGTCGTCTCCTCGGTATATATATAGTCACTATATATATATATAATATTGTGGTGTGTGTGTGTGGTGGCTGTGTGTGTGGTGTGTGGTGTTGTGTGTGGGGGTGGGGTGTGCCGCGGCGCGCACAAGAAGCAGCGCGCGTGGTGTGTTGTGATGTCGTTGTGTGTGTGTAAATTGTGTGTGCGTGTGTGTGTGTGGCGTGTGTGTGTTTGTGGTGTGTGTGTGTGTGTGTATGTGTGTGTGTGCGTGTGTTGTGGTGTGTGTGTGTGGTGTGTGTGTGTGTGTGTATGTGTGTGTGTGTGTGTTTGTTGGTGTGTGTGTGTGTGTGTGTGGTGTGTGTGGGTGTATGTGTGTGTATGTGTGTGTGTGTGTGTGTGTGTGTGTATGTTGTTGTGTTGTGTGGTGTGTTTTGTGTTTTGTGTGTGGTTTGGGGTTGTGTGGTGCTGTGTGTGTGTGTGTGTATATGTGGTGTGTGTGTGTGTGTGTGTGTGTGTGTGTGTGTGTGTGTGTGTGTGTGTGTGTGTGTGTGTGTGTGTGTGTGTGTGTACTTACATGCCAGCGCAGCACCATAGAATCTCACACCCAGCGCCGATTCGGGAATCATCTGGCATCCTAGCGACCAGCTATACAGACGACCCGGAAGAAATATTGCCTGCGCAGATAATATGCACCACTCGCATTACGAACGCGGATATTATCAAGAGCTAATAATACCTATTAAGGTATTATTAGCTCTTGATATTATCAAGAGCGTATTAAGAACTATAAATACATGCGCAGATAATGAAGTCGCCATTAGTACGTGCTGAACAACTGATCGTTGTGACCTTTACGCGTGACAAACAATATGTACTTTATGCACAATATGCATTTCGGTTCTTCACATTTTTGTGGATTGTATTTAGCGCATTCCAGTTACGATTTTGCTGTGCCTCTCTCACCATCACGCATTTCTCACATCAAGCTTGGCTCGCTATAATCTGCTATTCCTATCATTGCCTCTACTATAATAATTAAATCGATCATCTCTTCTATTCAGACACACGGCACCTTCATCCCCGTAAACAAGTAACATCAGACGTTAGCGAATCAAGGAGACACATAAAGATACGGCGAAAATTATCGAGGGAAGCTCTTCATCAAACACGGCTTAGCAACCCATTATTGTGATTGTATTTGGGAAGCGAATCCTTCAGATAAGTCTCAGCATCCCTCTATTGTAGCCGGAACTATGACATGAATGAGCAAGCGATGCCCTGAAGATTTAGTACGAGGCGTGAACAACAGCGCGGGTTTACGACAGATATCGCAGGTGTTTCTGTCCGGGTATAATTAATTGTATGGCGTTATCAAGCAGTGTTCGTGAGGCTTTGTGGGGAAGTGCGGGGCTTACTATCGCGATGTTAGCAGCGTCTTACGGCTCAAGCGTTAATCACAGGGTTAGCTATGTGGTAGATAACGAGGTTTAGTAGCTAGATGCTGACAACGCCGTAACCGCCGTACAGCCGGTCTAGCGATACGCGCCTGAATCTAGTTGCTTGGCTTCTTTTTCCTTTCTTGGTGCTCAGTGCGTACATTACATCCTTGTCTAACTCTCCGCACCACACACACACACACACACAC